TTCCTATGAATAGCGAAGAGTTCTATCAATTCGTATGCATTTCCGCTACAAATTACTTGTTATTGGTTTCATTGATTTAACATTCATTATTGTCAGAATATTTTATTGTAATAAAGCATCGTGACAAATAGTTATTACTTGACAAATTAAGTATTTTTACTTTATAAATAGTAAATATTTTATTTTAAAACGATTAATATAATAATTTTTACAATAATTTTATTATCACTATTAAAAACGAGTAATTAAAACGAAATAATACATTAAAATTAAAACAATAAAGATTTTAATTGTAATTTAGAAGTACCTTAATTATTATTACATTACGTACATTTATAACTGCAATTATTGTAGTAATTACTTTAATATTTATGCATTATTCAAAGCAATAATTATTATGCCCATTTAGTAATTATATTCAGGACAGGTAATCTTAAATATTAGATATACTGTTTGATAAGACATCATAATTGTTTACCTTATAATATGATTGGTCAACAAATGTATAGCTTTTCGGTAAGTTTTAATAAATTCTTTGCATTAAACGAATATCAACCATCATTAATTTTGCTAATAATACTATAACTGTAATTTAGTTCATTGCAAAATAATTTAATTAATTTATTACATTTACAATAGGTTAACAATTATAACTAATAATGTACAAGTATTATGAACTAATATGAAACAAATAATCATTTTATAATATACTGTATGCCCATAATTTACACATTAAAATTATTACATTTTTATTATTAACAATAATTGATATACTGTACATTGCAATTTGACCATAATTAACTTTATCATTAACATGAGTTTAAGTAAACTAGTCTTTAATATTGATAGTATATCTGTAATTATTTTTAATATTTTAGCTATATTCGTGAATGTATCCTGTTTAATAGTGATTCATATACATTGTACGGTATGTAACAATTACAAGTATATACTTTATAATTTAATATGATAAGGTTAAGCAAATTGAAACATCATTGTATTTGCAGGTCTACTATTTCTGAATCAATTGATATAAAAATGATATTAATACACCATTTTATTTAGTAATAAATTTAGTTTCTGGTGACATAATATTTATGAATACAAAATATTAATTATTGTAAAATATTATTATAAACATTATTATCACAATAAAAGTATAATATGATTGGTCAGCATTTGTATAGCTTGTCGGTAGGTTTTGACCACAAATCGTCATTAGCTAAACCCATACCCTGTGAATGGGCTGTCGGGGCGGCGGACAGTCATCTCTACCGAATCGGGTTGTCATCATTTAACCCCGATTTAAATATTACTAAACCTAGATCAATATTATATCATCCCATGATTATATCTACTGTAATGTTTGTAATGCTAATTAAACATCTATTTGCAACGTACACATATTATTATATGCCAGATATGCCCGATATATACCATTTATATATTGGTAATATAGATTATTTTATTAAAACCCGAATAAGCGCAAACATTATATTGGTTAGTCTATCATTATTTATAATAGATGCCATGTTCATTAATTACAGTAATAATAAACGTGGCGTATATTCGGGTGATTTACATGTGTTTACTGTAATCGCCGGCCGATTGGCGCCCATTTGTGTTGGCATTACTGATAATAATTTGGTTCAAAAGCTATGCAATCACTGCCGGCGTCTGTTAATTATGGCCCGATTTATTCTGACACTAATCTTTATCATTTCATTTATTTATCCAATAATGGCATTTGATACGTTTAATAGACCATGGTACATTTTACCCATTGTTCTAACCCACTCAATTCATATTAACGTTTGGGTTTATTATGCTTATACTATATCGTTATATCAAACTGTTTATTACACTATAATTACATATTATCTATCTGCCAAAATTAACTTGATCAATAAAGACATTAACCGTAATGGGTTTAATTATAATCAATTGATCAGATTAAATTTAATATACATAGAGATTGCCTCATATAACAAGTGTTATTGGGGTAGATTTTTATGTGATTTATGGTTTACTGCGAGCGCCATCATTTGTTCCATGTTACATATGTCAATGACAGTCCATGATACATTTATTTTAAAATTAATTGCTTTGTTTACGTGTATTGTTTATGCAATATTTTTATTGCTTATAATTCATATCTCGTCCACACTTTATAATGAGTCGAATAAAACTTATATTCTGTTGAATTCATTTATAATTAGATCTCAAAGGATATCAATTATTTTCAAATTAAAGGTATTCTCTCTCTCTCTCTCTCTCTCTATTTCTCTCTCTCTCTCTCTCTCTCTCTCTCTCTTGGCGATTCATGTCTTGTGATTTGGTTCGGAAGTCATAATAAGCAAAATTATTTGTTTTATTGGTCTATATTTACTCCAAACTCTGGTAGACTTCACTTCAAAACACACTCACTGTCTGTGATATATGAGACAAACTCTTAGACTCTATTTACGACATATTTTGAGTTAAAGTGATAAAAATAGTTAAACAAAAATTGAGAGCAAAAATACAATTGTAAAATTGAAGACCAGATATCTCTATATATTGTTGAGACGAAACTCACGTATTTGTGAGGAAAGGAATTGGAGTACAATATATTGGAGAAGCAATGAGTGCATCGAATAAACATTTCAAGAGTTAATAGTATTGAGAAAAGTGAGGCAACCATGAGATCAGCTGAAGGAAAGGGAGTAGAGATAGCGTTGGGCTTTATATATACCGTACGTATAATATATAGATGTGTTGAAGTAATAGTAAAATAGGGAACTATTGATACCATTCTCTAAATTCCATTCAATGGCATCAGAGAAGGAGTTTTGTATGAAATGCAGTCGTCTTTACGAATGTCTGACTCTTTTGTAAAATCGATACCAGAGTTGGGCTCTGTTTGGATGTTCAACGATCTGGTGCTCTGTTTAGGCGCTACCAGTGCTGGCAGTGCTGGAAGTGCTGGCAGGAGATCCACTGTAAGCCACCAAACAAATGGCAAAATCCGTATTTCTTACGACAACACAACCCATACCAGTGTTGGTGTGTTTGGCGTATGACATGAAGAGGTGATCTATTTTTTGGTTTTGATTCACACTTTATTACTTGACAAGAGAGTCGAGTCCCAAACCATTCAATCCAATATCTCTGCGCCAAAAATTTAATCTCTTCTCCACTTATTGTCTGCATTTATTCTCTCAATCTCTCTCTCTCTCTCTCTCTCTCTCTCTCTCTCTCTCTCTCTCTCTCTTCTAATATACAGTACATATAGATATCGATGGCTTATATTTTGTGATTAACGTTATCACTGAATGAATGATATTTTGAGTCCATCCATCCATTTGAGAGCATCTGCTCGAGAAACCCAATATATAAGGGCTCTAACGGCACAGTTAGCCTCCGAAAAGTCACTCCTTATCAATGGCAACAAAAGTCTGATACAGTCTTTACAAAAATTATTTGCTTTTTTCTTTATAACTTGGTTTAAAACTTTTAGGTTATTATTGCTTTTACACAGAAAATGACTGCAAAAAATACAACGAAATCATTTGACAATCTTTTCTTCTTCGAGAACAAAGTCTTGCATAAAAAGTCCTCATTTTTTGTTATTACGATTCATATCGTAATAACAGCTAAAAGTATGTTATTTTATACCCATTTGCTTAATGATTAACTTTATATATCGTATTTCCATTCTTTAAATATATCTCAATTTTGTAGTTTTATCTCTCTTTATGGCTCTCTCTCTCTCTCTCTCTCTCTCTCTCTCTCTCTCTTTCTCTCAACTAATGTCAGTTGAAATAAAGTCAAAGATATTTGAAATTGTCTTTTATTACGATTTTTGGCTTAAGAATTAAAATAGCAAAGAATTGAATGTCATTTCATAATAGTTTCATAAGATTTTATTTCATAATAATGTAATTTAAGTTAATTTTAATTAAATTCTTTGTCAAAACAAATTAATTTCGTATATTATATGTTTGTTACGAATTATTCAATCAATATATTTGTATTTGTTATATAAATATATAAATTTACAGATATTTCAGCTTTTGATATGTTATATACGTTTGATGTCGTGTTCATGACTTGAATTACAATAACTAATAAAATATGAGTGAAATTCATGAATATGTTGACAGACTTTGGGCTAAAAAACATCATTTGAAAAATTCAGTGAATGTTTGCCATAATATGATGTGAAATAAAGAATAAGAAATAAATGGAAACATAAATCAGTAATGAATGAAAAATGACAGAATAGAGGGTCTAATAAGCAATTACTTTGAGGTGTCTTTTAATACAATGTATTGTACGCTAAGAGAGAAGAAGGCGAAGGCTTTTATCAATTTGTGTGTCAGTACTCCATATGTGATGAGAAGATGTGATTTGAAGAGATTGTGCTGTCATTGAAAGCAAATATATATCTATTTGAGTGAAGAGTTTTTCAAAAGCAAATGTAATGATGATTACAAAATCTATAAGAAATTCAAGAGACCAGTAGTTGTAGTAATAGTAGCGGTGGTTGTATTGAGTTGTGTTGAGTTGTATTGAGTTCAGGCAAATCACACGTTCAATATGTGGATAAAAGCGCACATCCCGTCTGTCTGTCTCCTCTTTAACGCTGGTATGTGTTGGCAATGACTGAATCGTTATATATTTCTCTGTCTTTCCTTTCTTTTTCATTTCTCTCACTCTTCTTCACAACCTATTCATGTATTGTCTCATATTTTTTAGACATTGTCTGCCATTTTTGACATTATCTTTGCTCACAATAAATATGTATTTTTCATATAATATTCAACAATACTTTTTCGTCTCCTTTTTTTAGATATTTTTATGTTTTTTGGATGAAAGAGGAAAACCAAATGTCACTAAAACTGAAGGATTGGTGAGCGGGAGAGTTGACACTCATTTGAATTTATTATAATATTGGCGCAGAGAGAAAGAGAGAGAGAGAGAGAGAGAGAGACTGTACTAATCCGTAGATGACATACATTAACAAAATCTCCCGATTGTATCATAAAGTCTTTGATCACGCGATGAAATGACACGCCTTTATAGCCAATGGGAACGCCGTCTCTCTTGTACTCTCCGGTGCAGAACTGACTATCAATACAAACACAACAGCATTAGAAACACCACAAGACAAACACACAGTCACACCATCACCAGCAACGACAGCACAACCACTCGCTATACAACACATCCCAATCAAAGAGATTATATCACCAGAAATACTGGCGACAAAAGCCGCGGCTCTAAAGACCAAACATGGTATGACTCGGGAGGGGCGGGGGTAGGGGTCGGGGGACAGTATAGCGAGTGAGTACACCATATGGTGTGGTGTCTGTGTTCGGGCGGTTGTGTTGCGGATCCGCTGACCGGAAATTCTCGGCCGTCTTCGGGACGGCGTCGGAAAACAACTCCATTTTCATGCGACCGACTTCTGTGGTGCCGATCGTGATGTCGAAGAACACCACCGGATTGGACGGATGCCGCAGCTGTTGCTGTATTTGCGCCCAATTGGACATTGTCTTCAGCGGGTCTTGGGATCAGCTCTTTAAGTGCCAAGTCTTGAGCGCCGGGTTTGAGACAAACAAAACTTTTTTGTTTGTGTTATGTTTTGAATATAAATCCAATGCTTTTTCAATGCCCATAGACTTTGTACCGAAGGTTTGCTACCATTTAATAGCATAGGACTTACGGCTAAAAGCATACACTCATAGCCTTTAAGCATTCAGTATTTAAAAGTACTAAACACTCGCTTTAAGCCAAAATACCGTAACATTGATTCGCATAAATAACGTATAGTAATAAAGTTTTACATACAAAATCATAATTAAAACTTTTAATTCATTATAATTATAAAAATACATTTATTTAATGCATTAACTGTAAAAAACATTACAAAAATAATGAACCAGATCATTTAGGCATACCCTCGGTGTTCAACAAGCACTCACTCTCATCGGGGATCAGCTGAGGGCCGGCGCCGACACGAGTGCTAATCACATACCGTATGGCATCGGGCGGTAGACACGGGTTATCATCGAAATGTTTGGCCAACTCGGGCGGCAACACATAGCCATCCGCCACACCATCGCCGCTACCCTTAACCACCAGATCCTTATGGTAGCGGCCGAGCAGTGCCAACACCGGCGCCACATCCCTGTCCAACAGGTATAGGCAGGCGTTAGGGCCGGCGTCGAAAGTATAGGCCACGCGGGGCTCGGCTCGGGCGCCGTGAAAGTCGTTATACCGGTGACAGAACCGTCTGACCGCGCGGGACGTGTCGTTCATATAAGTCAACGGCGGATACGTGTCCTCACAGACGGCGTGAAATTGATTGCTGTCTCGCATTGTTATCTCGGCGAATGTCGGGAAGTCTCGGGCCTTAATCGCCGCCACCATAGCGTCCACCCGCGCGGGCACAACACTGGCCACCCGGTGCTGCATCAGAGCGCTGGTGGCCACAGTCTGGGCCATACCCGACGTACTGCTCGTGTCTTTCTGGGTATCCCTCACTACGAGTACCAACACTCGCATCGCTGGCCAATGGGTTTCGTCCACAATCTGGCGGGCGATGGATGTCTGGGCGTCCGATCCCCGGACCCACTGTACAAACCCGCCGTAGACGGACCGGCAGGCGCTGCCCGACCCGATACGGGCCAGCGTTGAGATGGTCTCCACTGAGTCTATGTCGTGAAGTCGAGCCAAAGCGTACATAAGACAGGCGTAACCGGCGGCCGACGAGGCCAGACCTGCCGCCGTCGGGAAGTTGTTTTTTGAACAGATCCGTAGCTTATGGCCCGTCCACTCGACCTGAGCCAAGGATCGGACTGTAATATAAGGGAAAGTCAGTTATCGATGAGAGTGAGAGTGAGAGAGAGAGAGTGAGAGCGCCGGTTAACATAGCGGTCATCAAGTATTGTACGTATAGTTTAAATACATCTTGAAATTATTTATTAAATTAATTGATTTTGTGCGACAATCAGATTAATTGTTTCAATGGGTAGGGAATCGCATATAAATGTCAACCGATTTAGTCGTAAATATTTACATATTTTACGGTATATTTTGTCGACGAGTCGGCCGTCGAATTGGTTATCGAAATACGCGTTCAAACACTTTAAACTCCGGCCAACGGTTATGATTAGCTCATTCATGGCATCCGTGTTAAGCCTATGGCAACCGATTAAGTCCATCGACTCTATTCCTGGTGTGAGTCGACTGAACACATCCGACAACTCTTTGTCGTATTTATATAGCGATAGTTTGCGAAGAGTTTGGCCGCACTTTTCGGCCAACATTGACGACCAATCGATGCGATGATTATCGTTGACTGAATCCATAGTTTGGACTTCGATGGCACCGATGGTCAGGTGTCGTACGCCGAGTGTTGACAATCGTGTGGCCAATGATTCGCATTCCTCTTCGGTATATAAAATGTCTGAGTTTTTGTTAAACATCGCCAGACAGTCGACTTGTGGACAGTTGTCGACAATTGTCTGCAAACCCAACCACTCGTGTAGACATCCGTTCAAATACAGTGATTGTAGTTTTGGACACTTTTTCAATAGTCTCTCAAATCTAGAATTAAAACAATAAGAGAAATAGTTTTGTTTAATTGAAATAAAGTTATAATTATTTTTTTGTCAAAATAATATCTCAAACCTGAAGTCCAATGTCTTGTGCTTTGAGTAAAAGTCTCGCAGACTTTTATCATAGAGGGAACAGTTGTCACCGCAAACGATATCATCCCTAAAATGGCCATAAGTTAAGCCATTCTTCCTCTGGAGAGCACTTCCCACACAATCCATAAATTGTTGCGAAACTCTCTCCAAACGTAACAATTGTCTCACATTTAACTCATTGAATATCATTAACAATATCTCGTCCCTTAAGACCAATGATTTTTCGTAAGACATCATTGTTTTACAAAATTAATTATTTCTTTTCTAAATAATATAATATTTGCTTAAATTAATTTATTTAATCACTCAATAGTTATAAATAATTTAGAGGCATGTTCTTCAAAAATTTATAATATTAATATTTAACACGTGTAGTGTTTTACAAATATAATTATTTTCTACCACGTTATATGTGTAGCCTATAAAATAACAATGATAGATTTAGCAATGAACATTGTATAGTGTTCATTATTAGGAATTTCAAATAAGGTATAAATATTTGAAACTAATGTAATTTCAAGTATTGTAGTTTACAAAAACTTGAATGACCTAATATGCTAAAAATAATCTGTTGCCATATTAAACATGGTTGAATTTTTCCGTTAACCCATGCGTTAGTAATAAGAATCGGAAAAATAATACAATCATTTGTATTTAAAATAAAATAAAATTTAATTTAACTGTTTTTAAAGTAAGAAATGAATGAAAGCCTACTTTGAAGGCAACACTTCTGGTGATAACGTATTGATTACTACACGAAATGCCAATCAATTTGTGTCTATCACTCACTCGACACATACTATTCAATACCTATTTAGGGAAATAATTACCAAAAATTAATATTAAAACTTAATAAAACACATAAAATTACCTTAATTTTATCATTTAACTTAATATAATCCCTGATTCGAATCCAGTGTATATATTATGTAATAATTTGTATGTTTTAGATATTTCTGATTGAATACTAGATATGATTGTATTCAAAGCCAACAGAAATGATAGCAAAACAATTAAAGGCATCACAACAAGAAGTTTCATATTGATTGGTATATGTTGTTTAAACACGAACTTGGTGATCAAAAATTGCGATATACAATTGTAGGTACGGTATTAATTGAATTCTCTCTCTCTCTCTCTCTCTCTCTCTCTCTAAATAACGGTCAAAAACATAATTATTCTTAAAAATAAAATTTTTATTCAAACTTTTTACACAAAAATCATAATCAAAAATAATACCACAAAAACACTTATGAAACAAATGATCAAAAGGAGTGAAAATAATGTAATGATTATTTTAAAAATGGTTTATTTGAAAAACATTGGCTTCAATCCGGGCCTACATTTCGCCGCACTGCGAGATAATGACCGGTATTTTAGGCTTATTGTTGGGACCGGTGGGCACGTTCTCCACCTTTCGCATCACAAGCATGCCGTCTATAATACGGCCTTTAGGGTAACAAATGACAGGTAAATTAGTTATTTTTACATTTTATTACAATGTAGTTAAATTAAAATTCATACCAAACACCACGTGTTTATTGTCGAGGAAATCGCATTTGGCGCACGTGACGAAGAACTGGCAGCCATTGGTATCTTTGCCACTGTTTGCCTACGGATCAGATAACCAGATAATTATCATCATTTAAATTACAATCAAAATTAGACAAAACGTGATAAAATAATTGCTTTTCAAAACTACACTACACTTACACTATATCTCACAAAACACTACTAAAATAAGACTACATTTTTAATTTAACAGTTTATTTAAAACCTTAATTAAAAACACTAATTAAACACAAACTAAACCTAATTAATACTGATTGTTATAATGTGCTTAAAAGTCACACAAACCATAGACAAGAGTCCGGGCGCGTCGTGTTTGAGGGCAAAACTTTCGTCGGGAAACTTCCCGCCGCCAAAGATGGACATAATGCCGGTGCCGTCGTTCTGAGCACACACATCAACATCGGGGTCATTAAAACACAAACATTATATGCATTATTCAATGAGTGGGGAGAGAGAGTGAGGGGAAGAGGGAGTGTGAGAGAGAGGGAGTGAGAGAGAGAGAGAGAGTGAGAGGGGGAGAGGGAGTGAGAGAGATAGGGGTGTTTATCCAGATTATATAATAGTGTGAATAGTAATGCAATTATAATCAGAGATTGTGTTTAAATCAATGGTTTAATTCATTCCCATATCCGCAACAATGGGTTTCATCACTCGTTTTGCATTACTATTCAATACACGGGAGAGAGAGAGAGAGA